CTTGGAGAAGCGAGCAAGCACGTGCAGGTCTTTTTCGACGATGGTATCCCCATAACCGAACATATGAACAACCGCAAACACCACGTAACATCGCAACCAGCCCAGAAGACGTGATCTTAGTTCCAAAAAGCATGCAGCAGACATCGGTGATGGCATTCCACTCGGTGAATTCTGACGGTCACGTGGGGCCCCCTTATTTTACGGAATCGGGAGGGGGCTCGCCATCACAGGGTACCTAACCGTTATTCCGGCAGTTCGAATTAACAAGATGGAAGAAGGCAACATCCTGCATGGAGTGATGCTCTTCGAGGAGTCACCTCCCCGGCATACAGTAAATTAAATACAAAATCTCCTGAAACGGAGGATCCCGCAAACTGTACCCAAGGGAATATGCCCCCTTCCTCATTAAACCTCAGCCCACACAAGTTCTGGTTGCTGGGGCGTTTTTGCGGGTGAGTCTAACGAACGTCCCCATGTGACTGTGGTCAGCCTCAGCAGTGCCAGTTGGCTACAATTACGAGCCATTGCAGACGGGAGATATCGCCGCGCGTGCGGCCAGTCCAGGCACCGGTAAGGGCTGATGCAGGTGGACCACGGTGACCATATTTGGTGATAAATGTGTAAAATTGGTGTGACAGTATGTGATCCAAATTTGAAATGCCTATGTTTACAAATTTCTAAGCTACGGCGTTCTAAATGCAAATATGTATTTTGTCCCAATTTATCTGCCCAACCCTGTATAAATGGATTCACTTTTCGGGCTTACATCGGGCTTGCGCCAAGCGTCGCACAACTAGGGCTTAATTACGACTGTCCTGAGCTCGCCGAGCGCGCATACCTCCGGCAGAGCATTGGCTTTAGCCGGCGTTTTTGAGTCATACGCCGACCGCACAAACGCTGGTCGGCTTTAGCCCAAGCGCTAGCCGACTTTAGCCCGACAGTCAGCGGCGCCGCCACGCTTTTATGAGCACTACGTACACCCGCATGCAGGTTAGTGGTAGGCTCAGGCACGACACCCAGGGTGGGATGGAAATTTTCTCAAGTTCCAAGGTGCCTATTTATAACATCACCAAAACCTGAAAACTCTCCGGATTCGTCCCACTGATTGTCGAGAAGTCAACATTTTCATTAAAAATAATACAAAATGAGTAAAACGAATGATCTAATAAACACCCAGCTGACCAAGGGAAAGACGGCTGTCCCTGCCGTCCCTCCCTTGGCTTCGAACCGATTGCAGTCTGCAGAATGATGTATGTAGTTACAGTTGCACTTACACTATGTCGGCTCAGCTCAGCTCAGACCGTGTCGGCTCAGCTCAGCGGAGAGATGCCCGTGGACTGGAGCGGGACGTGTCGGCTCGGCGAGCTGCCCTGGCCGTGTCGGCTCGGCGGGCTGCCCGGACAGTGTCGGCTCGGCGGGCTGCCCAGACAGTGTCGGCTCGGCGGGCTGCCCGGACAGTGTCGGCTCGGCGGGCTGCCCGGACCGTGTCGGCTCGGCGGGCTGCCCGGACAGTGTCGGCTCGGCGGGCTGCCCGGACAGTGTCGGCTCGGCGGGCTGCCCAGAGCGTGTCGGCTCGGCGGGCTGCCCAGACAGTGTCGGCTCGGCGTGCTGCCTAGAGCGTGTCGGCTCGGCAGAGGATTGTGTCGGACCAGCAGAATTCGTCGGCTCGACTGCATCAGAGTGTCTGAGGGACAGGATCGATGGGATCCGGAGGAGAGCGGGAACCGGTTAAAGGAGCAATGGGATTCGCGTTAAAATGCGAACAAAATGATACATATGTACAAGTATATATTTTACATGATCAAGAAGTGCATACGGTAGAGTGAGATGAGAAGAATTGTGTTGAGCGCGGATCACATTTAGGTGGGGAACAAATTTAGTTAAGCCAACTATCTCATTTACCTAACTCATAGGAGTCCAGGCATTACCCCCCCCCCCCCCGACTTGACCGTGTCTCAAACGGTCAAATGACCACCGTCCACCACCAGTGACTCGGAGTAGAAAAAAGTATCACACGCGATAAATTCACGTTCTTCTTATGGAGACTAGAGTGTTTCAATAAACACGAAATTTTCCGGATTACAATGCGCAGCCCCACAATCGATCTCAATGCACTAAAAAGTAACCAGGCCATAATTTTAGACCTCTAAGTGCATATCTTCAGGTCGCGCAGGGTGACGAAAGTTTCAGAACGTTTACTATGGAAAGCCAATGGGAGGAAGGTCGGAAATATTGCATAAAATCATACATGAGTGATACGGAGTCTCGCAGACTACAGATCACGGCAGAGGCGGATCCAGCTCAGAGTTTTTTTTTGGGGGGGGGGGCAAACCATAACAATTTATCGATTCTTTCCATGCATCGTCCATAGGCGTAATGTTAAAATTATGCCGTTTGGGGGGGGGGGCAAATGCCCATTTTGCCCCCCCCCCCTGGATCCGCCACTGGATCGCGGTGCAGTTTTGGCTCTCCGTTTCCTGGAGCAGCAGAAGGCTAGGTGCAGAAGCAAAAAGTACCGGAAAATTCTTATTCATCCTGCATAGCTACGATAAAACTGGCAAAAACGGCCAAAAACGGTAGAAAAAACGTGGTTAGTCAGGGTGAATAAGATTTTCCCGGTACCTACTTTTTTCTTCTACACCTAGCCTAGCCTAGCCTAGCCTTTGGATTGGAGAAGGACCGTACGTACCTCTGAGCCCGGTAAGCAGTCCTTACTCCTTACCTTTTCTTAGCTGCCAGTCTGAGAAAGTGGTCCATTGGACCCTGCAGCTTCCGTTTCTTCATTCTACTTACAGCAGTCAACGGACGCGTCGAAATAAACAACTTCTAGCACTCCACTCTTCTACTCTGCAGATCTGAGATCACTACCACCTTGCTGACCTTGCTACCACCCAAGCCCTATATCATTATGAGCAACCAATCACTCACAAAAGGCCTCTACACCAAGGCCCTAAAACTCTACACCACGCTCGGCGCTTGCTCGGCGCGGTGCATTCCCATGGTTGAGCCGCCTTGGTTCAAGATTCTTAACCCGCGCCCCGTTGGGCTCTGCCGAGCAACGCGCCCCGTTGGGGGGGGGGGCATTTTGCCCCCCCCCTAAGATCTCGAGAACCACGCAACCTAGCGACAAGCGGCAAACGGTGTTGGATAGCCCTATCAGGGAACTACCTTGTGACCCAATTTTATTGACCTAGGTCAAACCGATGACGTCACAGGTCAGGTCAAAGGTCCAATTTTCACCGTTTATAGGCATTTCAAGAAATGCGTTGTAAAATCGAGTAAAATGCATTTCATTGAAAGTCATCGATGGGGAAATGTTCTTCAAACACATATTTTGCTATTTGAGGTCACTGATACCAGGTCAGGTCACAGAGGTCAGGTCACGGGGGGGTCACAATATGAAAGTGTCGTGTGATGCATGTTTTATGGTCCATTTTACATGACGAATGCGATTATGTGGGTCAGGCAGCCTTTGGGGCCAGCTTAGGTCACGTTTTGGTCAAGGTCAGGTCAAGGTCAGGTCAAGGTCAGGTCAAATTAGGTCAAATTTTAAAGTTAATATTTTTGCATAAAATGGGTATCGAATCGATGCAGCTCGTCACGGGGAGTTCAATGGTGGTCTTTTTTTTGCCGTACGTGGTCTAGAATCGCTAAAAATTGAGTTCAAAAATTTGACGTCATCATTTTTGAACAGTTTTTTCGCTATAACTTGGCCAAAAAACGAGATATCGATCTGAAATTTGGTATGTATATAGAAGAGCGCAGGGACTATCACATATATTCCGTTTTTTAAATTCGGAAAACTTTTGGATTTTTTTTTTAGTTTTTCTAAAAAAATCAATTTTTTGAATTTTTTGGGGTCAAAAACCCAAAATTTTGAAAATCCGAGATAGCAGTTTTGTAGCGCCGCTTTTTATCTACTACACCATATAAAGAACTTTGAAATTGCTTGATAACTGTAGATTTGGTGAGCGTTTCAAGATTGCATGCTTTTTGGTCATTTTTGCTCGAACATGACCTCAGTTTGACCTCAATAACTCATGACCTAAGGTGACCTAAGACTTGAAATTTGGTGTGAAGGTGTCCCGTTTTCTTGCTATTCAGGAAAAACCACAGGGGGCGGGGGCAAAATGCCCCCCCCCCCCAACGGGGCGAGGGGATACCTTGGTTGAGCCTTGAGCCCAGGTTGAGCCAAGCCGCCAAGCTTCCTAGTTGTTATGGCAACAAGAGCGTACCTTATTTTTTAGCAGTTCAAAATGACAAATGTAATTTTGGTATGTCAAAACTGGTCAAAACAAACTGAAGTTTGGTGATTTTTTTAATTAAAAAACTTTTCAAAAAAAACGTAATTAAAAACTTTTTTAAAATAGATTAACTTTTTCACATTTTGAGCAGTACGTACTGTACGTAGTGGATTTCCAAGTCAAAAATTGCACTACGTACAGTGTACGTACTGTACGTAGTGGTGGCGGCGCCCCCGACTAAAAATATCTGGCAAGCCGCACTTCAGCCTGCTTGGGCCCGGAGTAAAATTGCTGGCTGGGCTACTGGTTCCGTTGTCACTGGTTCAGTTGTCATACTGGTTCAGTTGTCACTGGTTCAGTTGTCACCGGTTCAATTGTCTACTGGTTCAGTTGTCCACTGGTTCAGTTGTCACTGGTTCAGTTGTCACTGGTTCAGTTGTCACTGGTTCAGTTGTCCCTGGTTCAGTTGTCACTGGTTCAGTTGACACTGGTTCAGTTGTCACTGGTTCAGTTGCCCCTGGTTCAGTTGTCACTGGTTCAGTTGTCACTGGTTCAGTTGTCCCTGGTTCAGCTGTAACTGGCTCAGTTGTCACTGGTTCAGTTGTCCTGGTTCAGTTGTCAGTTGTCACTGGTTCAGTTGTCATGGAACCGTGAGTTGTATCGGAATGTCGCAGCTGTTTAGCATGTGCAAGACTATTGCAGCTGTTTAGTGTCGCACAGTTATTCTGGCGCATGTGTTACGTTCATGGCGACAACAGTCGGGTTTTGTTTGTGTTGTGTGGTGGGTTTGTCAAATTTCGACGTCTTTTTCATTTTTATGCAAAGGTGAAATTGATTAACAAACTCATTAATTGGCTACGCTTTGTATGAGACCATTAGGCTGGTTGTGTGAAGAGACCAATGCCAATGCTGATTGCTGGTCAGGATGATTTGAAAATCTGTGAAATGTGAATGACCGGCAATTTCGTGATTTACTTTGCATTTCAATTTTGGGCCGTTTAATGAAAATGTTGCAAATGAAGTCTTGTTAAATGACCATTTTTTCCTTCCAGGTGGTTGGTTATCAGAAAACTGGTGCCCTGATTTGGCACTACGGACAGATGACTGAGAGACAGTTTCAGAATCAGGTATCATTTTTATTTCTGCTGTTTCTTGGAGGATGCCAGCATCACACTGTTGCAAAATGTGAGATCTACTTCAACATTGCTTACGAAAAATGGTGGACCTCAGTCTCACTCACCTTAACAATCTTGAAATTGGTTTGGTTTGAGTCAATTGCAGGTGGTTCGTATCTAAAAGGTCGCCCCACCATGCAATGAAGGATGAATTCTTATGAGCAAGAGTCATCAGTTTCAGATCACTCATCAAACAGTGATGAGTGCATCTTTGTGGAGACTTCTTTTCCAACAAACTCAGCTGACAAGAGTTCAACTGAGCTAAACCACAGCTCTAACGAGTCCCCCGGCAGGCTGGACCGGGCAGAGGGCGACCACAGCCCCGACACTGGTGAGGAGCCGCGGCGGCCGCTCGACTCAGAGTGCTGCGGCAGCGGCTGTTCACCATGCGTGTTCGACCTGTACGACCGAGACCTGGCTGCGTGGCGGCGGCGGCGGCTACGGCAGCCCGAACTCGCCACCATCAGTGCCAGCCCGCTCCGACCAGACCGCTTCACGGCCCTGACGCTGACGTCCATCACGGCTCTGTCAGACTCGGCCAGTCTGTACCGTTTCTCGCTGCCAGCAGGGACGTCCCTCTGTCTTCCGCCGGGCGGCCACCTTCGTCTTCGTGCCGACGACGCCGGGCGCAGCGTCACGCGCGCCTACACACCCGTCTCTCCGCCTGACGCTCAGGGCTACTTCGAGGTGTACATCCGGCTGTACCCGTCCGGCGCCATGTCGAGCTGCGTGCGCCGCTGGCGAGTGGGCCAGCCGGCGCTGTGGAGCGGGCCGTTTGGGGAGTACCGTCCGCGGCCGACCGACCGGCGGCTGGTGTTTCTCGCCGCCGGCACCGGTGTGGCGCCGTTCGTCAACCTGGTCCGGGCGGCGGTGGAGGACGAGGACTCGGAGACGCGGCTGACGCTGCTGCTGGCCGTGCGGCGTCTCCAGGACGTGTTCCCGCGGGACCAGCTGGCGCAGTGGGCCAGCTACTGGAACTTCACCTACCAGCTGTTTGTCAGCGGAGCGAGGGAGGGTACGGACGGCGCCGCTCCCCGCTACAGAGAGCCCGTGCGGTGGCGCCGCCTACAGGAGCGGGACGTGCGAGAGGTGGCGCTCCAGTCGGCCGCAGGGTCAACGCGCTATCTGGTGTGCGGTACACGATCATTCGAGAAGGATGTGCTCAATTATTTGCAACGTGCGGGGGTATGTGATGATGATGTGTTCCGATTTTGAATCTACCAGGGGTTTGTGAGAATTCGTTGTCCGTTACACCCTGTGAGTTGAGGGCACTGTCTGTATTGAACGTTAGGAAAGTGTGAGGTGTGAAATGTGATAATTTGTGGATTTTAGTGGCACCCGTTCCGTCGTTTCCATCCTCAAGATATTCAAATCCTTCTCCTCCACGCCGCAACCCCTTCTCCGGGCTGGACAGGCAACTTTATTCCATGCGGGCGCTCCCATTGGAGCGCACCGCAGCTTCTAAGGGAGCTGCGGTTGGCGCCACAAGATTTCATTATCCCGTAGTCGGGTGCAGTGAGTGCTTTGGGGTTGGTCGGCCTCTCCTATCGGATGCCCGGCGACTCACTAGGGTGCCTGCTCAGACCAAGCAATGCCACTCCCTAATTCCAAGCATCCTCCCGGCTCTGCATTGGCCTCATTGGCCCGAAAGAGACTAGCTCAACAAAACAAAACAAAGTTGTACCGGCGGTGCCGATCGTTTGGGTACGTTCCTGATGTGTTTTTTTTTTTCGATGTCGTACTTCCAAAGAATAACCGCCGCGCATCTGTTTCATTTGACTTATTGACTGTCTTAATGTTGCAACTAATAACTCGGTAACTACGCTAACCGTAAATTATTTGCTTTAGCAAGCCAAATGCGGTGTTGCCAACTGTATTGGTTTCTATGGAACTCAATTTGTCATATGATGCTTGTTCTTACATGTGCCGTACCAACCATGTAATTGCTCACTTTGTTATGTATCATTATCCCTACCTCATGACTCAAATACGTGAGAAGTGCAATACAAACAATACGATCTTAACAAAGGCTTTTGAGGAAACTTTTTTTTTTGCCTTAACGCTCGCCGGCACAGGCCATTTTGAGTCCTTCGACGGCACAAGCTCCGGCGACAACGGGTTGGTACGACCCCCCTCGCGTTTGGGCCCTGATGGAGCTAGAGCTTCGCGGAAAAACCGCCACGAGAGGAAGCCAATGATACCCAATTTTAAGGTCCTAGGTCATCGGTTGACCTTCCAGGTCGGGTCAATGACCCAAAAATCGGGAATCGAACCTGTTAGAAAGTCGTAAAGTGTGGCTGCTAAGTGGTTTTCCGGGGTGCTGATCACGAATATCGTGTTAGTTTTGATCACAGATGATGTCGAATTAAGCGTTTAGACCAGGTCGGGTCAGGTCAAGTCAACCGGTAGGGGTCGTGACGGGTATTCGTAGTACCTTTCATCCGCCTCTGACAGCTTCGTAACATGTTACGAAGGCACCAAAACTACTTCGTAAATATTCAAATGGTTGCTAAATTCGAATTCAGCTCCAAAAACTAGCTTAGCAACATGTAAAACTCGAAAAAGTGAACCGAGGTCACCAAAGGTCAATGACCTGACCTGACCTTCAGGTGACCTTGACATCCACCCTAATGCATGGGAGCAACATCAAATCACATGTTTGAACGTTTGAAACCACGATAAGCTTGCAAACGCGCGGCTAATGCGAGCTGACATGCCGAATCGCGATTCTGGCCAAACATGGTCTCGGAAAAGAGGTCACAGGTCAAAGCCCAAAGGTCATTTGGGTCAGGATCATGAAATTTTCAGGGTAGGTGTAAAATTGATCAATGCGAGGGTACTGAAAGTTTTGTCGCGATCGGCCGCTTTTTACGCGAGTTATTCGCGAAAAACCTTAGGGGGATGCATCAACCTCTCTCCCCCCCCCCCCCCCCCCTGTGCCGGCGAGGGTTAACCCAACCCTGATGGGGTCTGCCGAGCAACGCGGTCTGATGCCCCCTCCCTAAGATCTCGAGAACCACGCAACATAGCGACAAGCGGCAAACGGTGTTGGATAGCCCCAACGGGGAACTACCTTGTGACCCAATTTCATTGACCTCGGTCAAACCGATGACGTCACAGATCAGGTCAAAGGTCGAATTTTCACCGTTTACAGGCATTTCAAGAAATGCGTTGTAAAATCGAGTAAAATGCATTTCATTGAAAATCATCGACGGGGAAATGTTCGTCAAACATATTTTGCTATTTGAGGTCACTGATACCAGGTCAGGTCACAGAGGTCAGGTCACTGAGGGTCACAAATTAAAAATATCATGTGATGCATGTTTTATAGTCCATTTTATACGCCAAATGCGATTATGTGGGACAGGCAGCCCTTGGGGTCCGTTAGGATTATGTTCCGGTTAAGGTCAGGTCAAGGTCAGGTCAAATTAGGTCAAATTTCAAAGTTGATATTTTTGCATAAAATGGGTATCGATTCGATGCAGCTCGTCACGGGGAGTTCAATGGTGATCTCCGTTTTGCGGTACGTGGTCTAGTATTGCTAAAAATTGAGTTCGAAAATTTGACGTCATCAATTTTTAACAACTTTTCGCTATAACTTGGCCAAAAAAGTTATCGATCTAAAATTTGGTATGTATATCGAAGAGCGCAGGGACTATCACATATATTCCGTTTTTTTTTTATTCGAAAAAATTGTTGAGATTTTTTGAGTTTTTCTAAAAAATCATTTTTTTATTTTCGGGGGTTTAAATCCCAAAATTTCGAACATCCGAGATATCACTTTTGTAGCGCCGTCTTTTCTCTACACAACCACATAAAGAACTTTAAAATTGCTTGTTAACTGTAGAATTGATGAGCGTTTCAAGATGTCATGTTTTTTGCTCATTTTTACTCGAACATGACCTCAGTTTGACCTCACTCGTGACCCGAGGTGACCTGTGACTTGAAATTTTGTGTGAAGGTGTCAAATTGATGCCCGGTAAGGTACCCAAAATTTGGCGGCGCTACGCGCCACCGTTTTCTCGCTATTTAAGAAAAACCACAGGGGGCCAAAATGCCCCCCCCCCCCCCATCAGGGCGCGGGTTAACCGCCGCCGCCCCAATAGGTTTTTTTCACGATAGCTCCGAACACGCCGGCGATAGAGAGCTGAAACGTGGCCTACCTGACCTTTGATCCAGGCTGCATCTTGTGGCGCCAACCGCATTTTGAGGTCAGGTCAGGTAACTGAACTATGACGTCATATGTGAACATATGCACGGACCTCAGATGTCGCAACTTCGCAACGCCCTCAGAACCAGGAGAACTTTCACAGGGAGATGAAACCTACAGGATGTAGTGTCCTTCGGAGGTCTCGCAACTCGTATACCTCGGATTTCTCCTAAAGGTCACATGAGGTCAGGTCATGTGACCTCACCATTATAAATAAACGAGGAAAATGAGAACTGCTATTTTGGCGCCAGGCACTATCTCAAACCATTTCAAGCACATCGGAATCGTAATTTCACTTGCTCCTTACAAGGTTCGATGCTTCACCTTTGCATTGTTGACCTTGCGACGCGTGACGTCATTTGTGACGTCACTTGGGTCTTAACTCTTAAGAGTTTTTTCGTCAACAACTCCCGATCAAACTGAGTTAGCGAGTCGGCGCCGTCGATGGACTTAGAAAGGCCTACCGAATCGAATGATATGCAACATGACCTCCTTCTACAAGCTTCGTGACCTGGGGCACTGACCTGACCTTGACCCGAGGTCAACACCTCCAGTTGACCTCATCCGAACAAAAATATGGCATTCAACGCGGCTCAGCGAGGCAAACGCGATGAAGCTAAAATCGCGGCTTTGCAATAGTTTTTTTTTGCGAAGTTTTTTTATGAAAAACTGATCCCGTGCTTTGGGTCACGTGACCTGACCTCAGAGGTTACCTACCGGTTGACCTGAGACCCTAAAAACGGGTACCGGCTAAACGACCCTAAACGGGTACAACATTGGCCACTTGCATTTTCGAAAACAAAAATGTGGGCAGTGTTGCAGCACACACGAAGTTTTGTGTGCACACACAGTTTTGTGTGCTATATCTTGTTTTATCTGTGCCCTGTGGTTAGGTATGTCACGCTGATGAAGATTTAATAATCGAAACGCGTCCATGGGCCATGCACTATTTGTTCCATGTTTTTCTACACACGAAGTTGTCATTTTCAAAAAGCCAGTGGTCGCCTCTATCTAGGCCCTGTTGCTAAGCATTGTACATAAACAGATGACTGAATTACGAGGGCAGCGCTTTTCGAGGAGCGCTGCGGCCTAAAGGTTTGCACTTTGAATTGTAAAAATAACGCCCGCCCGCCGCAAAACGCAAACAGCGCAAAACGCACGCCCGAAACGCCAACGCAAACGTCACAAAAAGAACAATAAACAAACGTACGCCTGCCGCAAACCGCAAAAAAACGCAAAAACGCCGCAAAAAAAAATAAAACCGCCCGCATCGCACGCCCGCCAACCACCAACCGAAAACGGCTAAAAATCGCCCGCCCGCCGCCAAAAGCAAACACCGCAAAAAAAAAGAAACGAAAAAGCGGCCGCCAACCGCAAATCAAATTAACACCGCAAAAAAAACACACACACACAAACCACCCACCCGTGAACAAATGACCTAAGTGTTTTGGTCCTTATTTTGGACGTTCTTTCGCTTGCCGCTTGCCGCGTGTCGCTACGTGGCCCAGGAGCCGAGTTAGAAGGGGGGGGGAGTGTTCAAACACCCCCCGGCCCGGCGCGGAATCTCAGAGCACCGGCCCGGCGCGGGTTAACAGGGCAGGCTTGGCTTAAAGGAACTATCCCACCTTCTAAAATGTTGTTAAAACCAGTTAAATTGTGCCCGACTTTATAGATTGGATGACCAGGAACACGGTTCTGGCATTTATTTTTCATTAAACATCTTAGGCTTCCCATATCCCAAACACAAACTTTCAAATATGTGACGTCTCAGCCCAAAATTACCTCCTTCCCCAGGCCACATTACTGTCATAAAGCTGATTCTTTTTACTCTGTAGGCACCACAACAAAGTTCAGACCAAGTTTTAAGCGATTTTTCAACGAACAAACCCATTTAAATCAGAATGACTAAACGAGGTGACGTCACACTAACGGTCGCTCCATGTTGAAGATAGGGCCTTGCGCAAGGCCCATTTTCAAATGAAGGGAACGAATTTCTTCAACACCAAGAGGCCGCGGGGGTTGCAACCTAGATAGATAGTGGTTTCTGAACCTCGCCGCAAACTTGGCTATCTCAACTCAAACCCCATGTTAAAGGTGGGATAGTCCCTTTAAAGGGACCCTCCCACCTTAAAAAAAGTTTATGAATTGGCATGACAGTGATGTCGCTCGGTTCAGAAAGAGCGAAAACGAATATCTACCAAATTTCACCGAAAAATATTCACCGGTTTTCAAGATATTAGACTTTTACTTTTGTTTACTTTTTGGGATCTCCGCTGTTCCTAGCGACTTTATTTAAAAGTGCGGCATTTGTTGCGCGCAACGCAGCATATACCACCGCGTGCTACAAAACGTTTTAGTCAAACATTTAACGGACGTTCGAAAGCCTGATGACGTCATCAGATTCCCGTAATGGTTAAGAGATAGGGACCACGCTGGTCCCACCCTGCAAGTAAAGGGAAGAAATTTATTGAACACCATAAAGCTGTGGGGGTTGCGACCAGGATGAATGGTGGTTTCTGAGCCTGGTCGCAAACTTGGCTATCTCAACTCAAAACTAATGTTAAGGTGGGAGGGTCCCTTTAACTGAATTATTCATGCTTGCCTTTGGGGCCCTCTGCTGGTCTGTGGGGTCTAACGCTGGCTCCTGCCGGTCTTTTAGGACCCAAC